GTACTCTTAGTTATTATATATATATATATATATATATATATATATTGATGATTATTCATGATTACCATGTATTATACTAACTTTTTTGCTACAAAGACATAATCAACTCATATCATGTATATAAAAAAATACATAAATAACATATTTAATTTTTAATTTAATTTAATTTTAATTTAATAACAATTGATATAGAAAGCTTGACAAATTTTACAAGAAACGCAATATAACAAAGAACGCAATATAACGACAATCTTACAATCATTTGTGTTCAGTGATCATGCAGATGTGATTTGTTCGGTTTCTGCTATCAATGTTGTCAAATTGCGTTACACAAATCCTGCTCAATTTTTGCCGTAAATTTAATGTCAAATTGCATTGCGCCGCAGATCTTGCTCGATTTTTACCACCAAGCTAGCAGATCGTGTCAAAAACCAGTTTGTTCAGTTTCTGCGTATGATATTGCATAACATGTTAGCTGACTTTATCGTATTTCTGACGGTTTAGCGATATTGTCAAATATTACATACTCTGTTTGAAATTTGCTGTCTTTTTGTCATCAGAAATTGATAGCATACTCTGCTTAAAATCTGTTTTTATTAGGTTTGGCTAATCAAGAATCAAATTTGAGGGTATTCAAGAATATATGATACATGACATTGCATTTAACTAAACAAATTTTTTTCTGATATAACAATAAGCAAAATAATTTATAATAAAATAATATGTTCTCCTTTATATATTTATGTTCTCCTTGATTCCACTAACTTCTTTGTTATAGTTTGACTTGATGCTCTCGGAGGATGGTAGCGGTCGAGGTGCCGCTCTGGTTGCTGCAGTGGCGTCGCAGAGGCGGTGAAAACGTGTTTATCAGTAGCGAGCTAGCTGCAATTCAATTATGTATAATATAAAGCTGAACGACGATGAGAGAATTGATCAGAATGAATGATGATCGAATGAGAACAATTGAGTATGGGAAATAAATTAGGGATCTTTTTCTGTGCTCATTTTGACTGCATTTTCACTCCTTTTTCTTGTACGGTTTGTTTTTCTTTTTCAAAACCTGAATAGTTTATCAATCGGAAAAAGAATTCATAAATGTGAATGTTAAAGAAATTATGAATTTGTTTTCGAAAAAAAATATTTTAAAGTAACATGTATTCATACGAAGGTTATCTTGTTACGAATATAAAATATACAAGAGAGTGCAGTTAAAAAGAAACCGAACTTAAAAATTAAACAGAATTTAAAAATTGCGTGATAAATATTTCTTGTACATAGAGCACAAAAACACAGTAAATTAGTGGATTAGTGAATTGTAACTACTTAGTTAAGGTTCTTGCAAAAAACTAGAAAATCAAGGATGTCCTTCCTGACAGACGAGACGACGACAGCTAATTAGCGTTTCGTTAATGATTCGCATATCTCATTAGCATGAGTTAATCATCTCGTAATTCTGCGAGAAAATTACTAAGAAAATAGATATATCTAAACGAAATAGAAGAATCACCGGATATAATCCGGTAAAAAAATGTCAAGTGTCAATTGATAAAAATATTGCTAAATGCAAACAAACTAAATCGATGATATATTAAATTTATTATAGCGATTACCAAAAATGATAAAGAATATCGATAGATTCGAAAATAAAAACAATTTTCCATCGATGTTTGAATATTTGTTTATTAGAACCTTTCATTTTATTGTAATATTGATATCCCTAAATCATTGAACATTTTTTTCACTATAAATTTCTATTAACTTGAAAATATTTATTATAAATAATTATTTTTAAAGGACAATGTAAAAATGCCTTTTTTATTAATTGAAAGTTAAATTTAAAAAAAATGTAAATATTAACCTTCAATTTAATCAAATTTAAATAGAATTTTAAATTTACAAAGATACATAAAATTTGATGTTGAAAAGATTTATTATTAAAAATGTTATTTTTAAAAACTTTAGAAGCAGTTTTATTTAATTTCATGTTAACTTTCTTTTCTTTAATTAATAGTCTACATATAATTCTAATGTTAAGTTTTTAAATATTTTAGATAATTGCATGTTAGATGAAGCATTTCTTTTTTTTCGAAGAATTTTATCAGTTATTAATCGAATATGTCTTCTTATCACTATCGCGATAAGATTTAATAAAATGATAGAATCATTCGCATTGTGAATTGCATTAGTATGTTTGTTTTCAATGACACCGTATACATTTAAAAATGTTGAAACCTGAAATTACAGGACACTTGTAAATTTTGTGAATTTTTTCTGTTGCTATGCTGCGACGATTATTTAGATCGATGAGTACTTACACCGGAGCATAATTAAAGTTAAAAGTAAATGAAGCATGATACGAATTAAAGATAATTTTTTTATGTAATATTTTCAATCTGTTTCTTTTTTATTTTTAATGATAAATAAAATTGTACGTGCGGGTGAGATTCAATCGGACACATTGCCGGTCGATTAAATAAAAAAATTTTTGATAAGTGGCTCACTAGAAAATTCCTGGCTGATGTGAGTGATGTGTCCGATTGAAAATGTGCGCATCTGGGACACTCCCCGTGTCGTTCATATATTAATGAAGATTTATAGATAATAATATCAAATAAAAAGAATTAATGTATTATTTGTAAAATTGTATTGGAGATTTTTAGAAAAAATACTTAAAAGATATGTACTCTTAAAAAGATAAAATTTTTAATAAAAGATATGTACAATATATATAAAACAGTGGAATTTTGAGAGAGAAAGATTTCATTCTACTGCTGTAAGTCCCGGTCTACAATAAATGATTTAAACCTTGAGCCAAGAAATGGATGAACTATAATCAAAGAATAGGAGAATAATCGACGATATGACAATTGATATGATTGGTCGATTCAATTTCTTAAGGCTTAAGGCTTAAATCACCTATTGCAGACCAGGACTAAATGCAAAAAATTATAGGTTTGTTTTTTATTCCTGATCTTCCTGAACTAGTACAAGAAGTGTACATTAAAGCGTTTTCTATTCTTGAAATGACGTTAATGATACTGTTCGTTATCTAGTGCAACAGACTTAGTACAAGTTTACTGAACTGGCTGCACTGGGTTTAGAATCAGTGCAAGCAGTGCAGAATAAACAAAATTCAATCAGTAGCGGTAATTTTGAACACCATAAGATATTAATCAGTAAGTATGAAAGTAGAAACTTTCTTAGAGTATAAATTTCAGTATCTCATTGATATTGTTTATATATTTTAATACATATTACTTGAGATATGCAAGTTAAAATTATAGATATTTACTGTTTAGAAAATAGTATTTATTAAATATTAAATTTGTAGCAAATTTGTAGGTTAGAAAAGTTCGGACGCTAAATGCACAATAATTAATAATATTATATATAAATATTATATATCTGTTTTTAAATTAATATTTACTATTTAATGTCTTACAAATGCTTGAAATTTTTTTGAAGTTATTTTTCTTTATTACAAAAATTTTATATTATATTAAAATTTGATTTATGTTATGGCGATTATATCGTCATGACTCTCACGACCACATTTTTTTGGCAATATTTGGATTTCGTCGAATTATTTATTCTCAGAGAATCGCAGTATATGCATGCAAATACGAAAACATTGCATGATCAGAAAAAGAAAAATTTCAAATGGCAAACAAGAAATAGCAATTAAAAAAAAAAA